AAATGAAGAAAAAACCGAATGGAAGGCGCGCCAACAAAGACTGAAGGCTTTGAAGAAGCAATCTTTTATGCACATTGCTGATCTTTCAAGACCGATGATAGAAGACAAAAAGTTTATTATATCAGATGTAAAAAGAATCCCGCGAGAAGATAAGAAAGACGACATCAAGTATTGCATATCAGGTGTGGCAGAAGATGTTTCTATGTCGTCACCTCAGAAAATAGTCGATGGCTTGAAAATGTCCACGCCGTTCCAAACACCCGTATCTAGTGAGGAAGATATTTTACGAATTGCCGCTCCGCATCGACATTGGTCGCCAACAAACATTCCACCAGGTCCGTTGCCCAGGAAGAAAGATATCCTGAAAGAAGAAATGGAACGTAGAAAAAAAGCTAGAGATGAAGCATTTAAGCTGATTTATGGAGATAAGAATGAGCAAACTGCATCTTATTCGACGACTCGCGATGATCCAGAAGCATTCGACTCTCAGAAATTGATAAAAAAAATCGAAAAGAAGAAAGATGACACAAAGGAAAGTCATACAAATGTAAAGAAGGAAACGTCCAAAGCGATAATGAAATTACAATCATTGAGCAAGAAGAATAGCAGCAAAATAGGATATCATAAAGGCGCATCGCATAAAGAAATTACTGGTAAAGTAGTTCGTGAAGAGAATAAATATTCCGAAGGAGCTGTTGGCGAGATCGGCCATCAGCAAAATGTATCATACAGACAAGTGATCGATAAGACAGCAGAACAGATTGATCATGGAAATCATCGAATAAACGGCGGCGGCGATAAAAAATGTATAAACAATAAATCCGATCTTGTAACGATAATGAAGGTATTTTTATGGATATTTTAGTCTGCATGATAATTTCAATGTATATCGATATTAATTATTTTATTTACGAATGTAGTATCAACATTGATCAGATTAAATTATGTAGAATCTAAAATATATGTATGTATATAAAATTTCAGGTTGAATTAAAGAAAATGGCTGCAGAAGGTTATGCATTTGCCAAATTGCCGAAATGTTATCTAATGCCGCAGCTTCAAGATTGGCTCATGTACAGGGAGGGTGTTGTTTTCTCGGAAACGGACAAAAGTACTTTTTAGTGGCGACGAATTAAAAATGTCATTTTTTTTTTATTTCTAATTGTTCTACAATTATTTATTTTTTTCCTGCTTTCCTAGAAAATTTGATGCAAGCGACCCGTACCACTTGGGAATTAATAAACTTGCAAAAGATGGAGATCGAGAAACCATCATTGCACATGACAAAACATCAACTGAAGAGATTGACTTATGATCAAGTTGACAGGATAAGGAAAAAGGTCAATTATCATTTTCATTATCTGCGAATTTTTATATAAAAGTCATATATATATACTTTACATGCATCATTTGTTCTTTTTTTTCAAATTTCGTTTCCTTTCTCTATTTTTCATAATTGTTCTCTACTTCGATATCAATTTAACTTAAATTATTTTAAGTTCTAAACTAATTATTTATTTTTTAATTAAAACAAATTTATTATTACTTGTGTTTCGAACAGATTGAAAAGATCAGAGAGACATATCACAGCGAAGTGCGTAAATCGCGCGTTTCTTACGCCCGTATGATGTGGAGTACCATGGAACATGGAAAATTTCCTTCCGCGTCATTCAAAAGAACTTTCTTTACATATATGGCTAGCAAAGAAGCCGATGGACACGTTTATAGACCATGGTTGCCTTCCGAGGCACGCGAACGAGATTTCAATTTTTGTTGCTACTAGTAATTGTTGATTGGAATTTTACACAGTTATGTTTACACATAATAGTTTAATTAAACATATAATTAATAATACTCAAAATTTTTAATAATATATATTTAACTAATAAATATATTATTAATTAAGTATATAAATAGTAATAAATTACATTATATATTTACACACATATATATATATATATATATATATATAATTTATTTATAAACATTTTTAAAAATAATAAATTTACTAAATTTATATAATTATCAACTATATTTGTTTTTATTATAATTTTTATATAATAATTTAAATTTTTCTCTTGCAAAAATTTGCTTACCGATGATAATTTCTTTGTTCGACTGTTGATGAATGTGTTCCTACGCTAGATAACATCTCACAAATTCAATCTAAATTTTTTCACACTGTCGCCACTGTCGCCACTCGCCAGTAGTGTCAAGACTGTCAAGTGTGCAGTGTGCACTTGCAGTTTGCACAGCAGTGGCTGCATTGCTGCATAGTGGATGGGAGATCTGATGTTTGTTTATTTTAACCTCTAATTATTTCTATACTGGAGAAATAACAGAATAGAGAAACTTTGTGATTAAAATAAAGAAATTTTTTAATTGAAAAGAAAGTGATTTAAAAAAGAAAGAGACTCCAGCAAAATGTCGTCTGGTACATTAACGTCCCTACATCAATTTTGTAGAATTGCAATTATTTATCCGACCTTTGTTTACTCATCTACTTGTAAATTTGCAGAAATAGAGACAAGCTTGCTGGTAATCGTTCTGGACGTCAATCCGATGCAGCGGATAGTGAAGCAAGAAACAAGGATACTGTCGCAATGTTTAGATTCTACAATCGTCTTTGCCAATGCACATCTTATGCAGTCATCCAATAATGAACTGGCGATAATGGCATGCCACGGCCACAGTGCCAAGTTCCTCTATCCCTGTGAAAATGCAGTAGAAATAAGGCAGATGGATGGACAGTATGAAAAGTTTACCATGGTGGAGCGCACAGTGCGCCAGCAATTGCAGCAGGTCGTCAGTGAGATCTCCATGGATGTCCCATACATGGAAAGTCTCATCTCCGGCGCGCTCAGTATGGCGTTGTGCTATATCGCTCGTTTGGAGCGAGATAAGGTCGCCGGCCAGAAGCTGCATCCCAGAATATTGGTGATCACTGCCAGCAATGACTCCGCCATGCAGTACATGAACTACATGAACATATTTTTCACCGCACAGAGAATGGTTTTTGTCTCGATTTGTTTTTTTATATTATTATAACGACAGGATCGAGACGATTTGTAACGCAAAGGAATCTATTTGGTTTACTTCCAGAATGTTATTTTGGATGTATGCAGCCTGGATCAGGAGCTGACGCTTTTGCAGCAGGGCTGCGACATAAGCGGCGGCAATTATCTGAAAATACCACAGCTTGCTGGATTGCTGCAGTATTTACTGGTGTGTTATTCATTGCTTAATTTTATTACAATTGACGCAAACGCGATTGTTATGTACACCACAATTTATTTCTCTGTTCCTTTTTAAATAATTTAGTGGGTGTTTCTGCCGGATCCCAGCGTTAGGTCAAAATTAGTTCTTCCTCCGCCAGTGAAGGTGGATTACAGGGCAGCGTGCTTTTG